GGCTGGGGTGCCTGGCCAGGCTTGGTGAGGGGCTGAGGGCTGTTTTCAGGCTGGCGGGTGACGGAAGCTCCCAACTGCTTCTTTTTTTCTTTTTTCTTTTTATTCTGGGCCAGCTTTAGCCTGGCTCCAGCTCTGAGGCCTCTGCTGCTGAAAGAAGGTATCTGGTTTGTTTTGGTTCTATAATCGAAACACTGTATCAACTCCAGCTCTGAGATCCCAGCTGGCTGAAAGCAGGTTTTGGAGTTTGTTTAGCTTCTATATTTGTAACAAGTTGCTTAGAGTTGCAGCTCAGAGGCCGGCCAGGCAGGTGGGGAACGTTGGAGTCCTCCGTCACTGAAGCAAGCAAGCCTCATGTTAGTTTCAAGCTGCCTGGCCTTCAGCCGCCATCTTGGCTGGCAGTTAATTTGCATATCTCACTGATTAGCCAATGGGAAGGGTAGCGGTCATACGCCAATTACCATGTTTCTCTTTTATTAGATAGGATAAGTCTTCTTGAATTTTGTACTAGGATACAATTAAGTTACTTTGAACCAGTTTGCTCTTTTGGGTTGTGCTTTTATGATTTGATAGGTGAGGTCTAGACCAGTGTTCAACCTAGGACTAATTATTCCCCACTACTGAGGCAAGACCTTTTGGAGTCCTATTGGGGTATTGTTCCCAACATCCCTTGAATTATAATTTTTTTCTGTCTGACTGTTGGGAACAGACACTGACCTCAACCATGTGTAAGCATCTGGCACTGTTCCTCTAATCCAGTGATTCTCAACATATGGGTCGCGACCCTTTCACAGGGGTCGCCTAAGACCATCGGAAAACACATATATAATTACATATTCTTTTGTGTGATTAATCACTATGCTTCAATTATGTTCAATTTGTAACAATGAAATTGAAGGTCATCACAACATGAGGAACTGTATTAAAGAGTCGCGGCATTAGGAAGGTTGAGAACCACTGCTCTAATCCTTATGAATGGTTCTTCCCCCAGTCTTGGGTAATTTCCTTGCATGCAGGCATTGAGGAGCATTTTGCTAAACCTCAGAGGGGACCTTCTTCAGATTTCCGGAGTTTTCTCTGTTCAGCTCTCTTCTTTCTGGTACCCTGTCCTTCAAATTCTATCTGCCGTGGTGTTCTCAGACTCTCAGCTCTATCTACACAACTCAGGGAGTCTGCCTGGCCCCACCTCAGGTACTCTTCCTTTGCTGAGACCTGGGAAGTCTCTCTGGCAGTAAGCTGGGCCATTTGTTAAGTCTGTTGTTTTGTTTTACTTTTTCAGGTGGGAGGATAAACCTATTATTCTATCTTTCCTATATTATGATTTTGAATAATTTGTATCTTTTTATACTTCATTTTTTCCCATCCTGATATTTTATTTTAAATATATTTTATTGATTTTTTTACAGAGAGGAAGGGAGAGGAATAGACAGCTAGAAACATCAATGAGAGAGAAGCATCGATCAGCTGCCTCCTGCACACTCCCTACTGGGGATGTGCCTGCAACCAAGGTACATGCCCTTGACCGGAATCGAACCCGGGACTCTTCAGTCCCCAGGCTGACGCTCTATCCAGTGAGCCAAACCGGCTAGGGCCTGATCTTTTATTTTAATATAAAAACTATTTGAATATAGACTCCCTGGATTAGAGATCTAGTTTCATCTCCTATTAGCTTAGAAATCTTGGGCAAGTCATTTAATCTACATGAAAAATGGAGGTGACAATAATATCTCTTCATATAGTTGATGTGAGAATGAATTAAGATTGTTTGATGGCACATAATAGACTGCAGGCCTTTGGTCAGTAGATATGCACTAAACATTTTAGAACACATGGTATGTTTTGATTAATTTATGTATCCTGTTGTTTAACTTTTTGTTCACTGTCTCACTGGGATGCTTTTGTCCATAGGTCTGCTCTGGCTGCAGTCATTCTAGCAACAACATTGACTGGCCGGACTGTTGCCCTTCCTCAGCCACAACGGATATCCCAGTCTGAGAGTGACGTGACTCACCTTGAAAATGACAGTTTCATCATGCCCTATGCCACCACCTCAGAGCTGAGGCATCAGTAAGGACCATATCTCTGATTCTGCTTCCTCTAGGACAGCGGTTCTCAACCTGTGGGTCGCGACCCCTTTGGGGGTCGAACAACCCTTTCACAGGGGTTGCCTAAGACCATTGGAAAACACATATATAATTACATATTGTTTTTGTGATTAATCACTATGCTTTAATTATGTTCAATTTGTAACAATGAAATCGGAGGGTCACCACAACAGGAGGAACTGTATTAAAGGGTCGCAGCATTAGGAAGGTTGAGAACCACTGCTCTAGGAGCAAAGGAGGAGTGTGTGTGTGTGTGTGTGTGTGTGTGTGAGAGAGAGAGAGAGAGAGAGAGAGAGAGAGTATGTTTAGAGCTTAGTAGTGAGGTTTTTTATTTTGTTCTTTTTTAAAATATATTTTTATTGATTTCAGAGTCAGGAAGGGGAAGAGAGAGATAAAAACATCAATGATGAGAATCATTGATTGGCTGCCTCCTTCACCTCCCCCGCCCCTACTGGTGATGGAGCCCGAAACTCAGGCATATGCCCTGACCCAGGATTGAGCCGTGACCTCCTGGTTCATAGGTCAGTTTTCAACCACTGAGCCACACCTGCTGGGCATTAGTGAGGTTTTCAACCCTAATGTCAAAGGAACACTGTTCTGGGGCATTAATTGTTCTTGAGTTGCATCAGAGTTTTCTTAGAGTGGAGCTTGTTAAATTATGGCTTGTGAATGCACTGGTAGTTTTCATGGCAACACAGAACCAGTGAATTTAGTGCTGCTTTTAGACCTTAGTAGGATTCTCTGTGCCACAACCTAGATGGTGAGAGTTGTCACTCACTGCTTCTCAGGTATCTCCCCTCTGAACACTCATACTGATTTGACCTTTGTTGGCATCTATACTATAACTTTTCTTCTTTAATGTCATTTCCTCCATTGCTTGAGCTGGGTTAATGCTAACAGAGGCCTAGTTCAGTGGTCGGCAAACTGCGGCTCGAGAGCCACATGCAGCTCTTTGGCCCCTTGAGTGTGGCTCTTCCTAAGCCTTAGGAGTACCATAAAAGAATCAAGTGGGAATGGCTTCAGGGCTGGGATGAGCTTCCTAGACAGAGAAAGAGGGAGCATGACACATGTGAGCAACAGAAGGAAGATGTTTGTGGCTGGGAGAACTTGAGTGAGGTGAGGCGTCATCTGCGATGGGGTTGAAGGAGTGGGCAGGGGCTCAGTGTTCTGTTCTGAGGTTTGGTATCTCCGGAGCCTAGAAGCAGGAAGCACTGAGGTTTTTAAGGTCTTGTGGGATGGCAGTGGGGGATACATGACCAGATTTGCCTTTTATCTGTCATGCTTATTCAATTTTGTTTTTGTTTATATTTTTATATGCCAAATATTCTGTATGTTTCGTGTAGTAAGATGTATCAGCCTTTTCTTTGTATTTTCTGTCATTATTGTCCAATCTAGAAAGAACTTCCCTATTATACACAGCATTATATATATGCTCATGTATTTCCTCCTAGGACATGTTTATATTTTTGGTTTTTACATTTTAATCTTGACTCCATGTTTAGATATTTGAATATAGTCTATTTTTCTCCTGGTAGCAATTATACTTTGGCTGAATAAGAGCTAAATATGAGGACAAGATTCTAAAATGTATTGGAAAAAATAAGCAGCTAAGACCATCAGGAGAAATTGGGAAAGGAAGAATATTGACCCTGGGGGTAGGCTGCATTAGCCCCATTATATATTTTTTGTTAATCCTCACCCAAGGATATTTTTTCCATTGATTTTTAGAGAGAATAGAAGGGAGGAAGGGAACAGTGAAGAGAGAGAGAAACATTGATGTGAAAGAGACACATCGATTGGTTGCCTATTGCAGGCAACCCGACTGGGGTGGGGATGGGGGATGGAACCTGCAACCCAGGTATGTGCCCTTGACTGGGAATCAAATCCGTGACCCTGTAGTGCATGGGCCAACACTCTGTCTGCTGAGTCATACCAGCCAGAGTTAGCCCCTTTAAAATATAGTTGAAGTAGCTAAAATACAGGAGAACAGGTTCATTGATAGAGAGGTGTTCATGAACACCTGACGTGAACCTAGTGTTGGCAAGCATATTGAATCGCTAGTAAAGGCAGCTGCACAGATTAAAGGGGAAGGAAAGGATTCAACAGTATATTGATTAGCAGTTTTATTGGAAAAATCAGTTTTGAGCTTTGCCTAATTCATATATCAAAACAAATTTCTATTGAATGAAAGTATTGATTTGTATATACATAAATAAGACTATTAAATCTTATATCCAATCTTATCAAAACTGATGTTTACTCCTACACTAAGAATCTAGATGGTTAAAAGAAAGTTTTAAAAAATCATCTGTATGTTAAAAAAAATTAATAGAATAGGAAAAATATTTGCAGTAAATACAAAGTCAGACTTTTAATTTTAGAAGAAAAGAAAGTTAATTTCAAATTAGAATTGACATACTAGAAGCAAAATAGATAAATGGAGAAAGGACACGAACAGAATTCATGAACAGAGGAATTAAGACTTGCACACAGATATATGGAAAAATATCTAGTCTCGGTAAGATGCAAATTTATATTGTGAGATTTAATTTCTTTTGGCAAGTTTTAGAATATTATTACCAACATAGTCACAGGTTGGAGAAATGATTTGTGAAATAATCTTGTGTGGTATGCATGCAGACCCACAAAATGTTTATGCCATGGACTCAGCAGTTTGCCATCTGGTTTGTTTTATAGGATTAATCCTAAAAACAGAAGAGATTATTTGCACATAGATGTCCATTACAGGGTTATTAATAGCAGTGAAAATTGGAGGGAGAAACCAGTTAAGGGAAATGGCTGACTAAACTGGTGTAACTACTTGAGTCTTTACCTTATAACATTTTGACTTTAAAAATTTGTTAACAGTGAAACAGATTGTATTGTATGCAGTGATAAGTATAAGAATCTAGGTAAAAAACTAGAAAGAAATTTTAAGAGTGTGCAGAGAGCCTGCTGGTGTGGCTCAGTGGTTGAGCATTGACCCATGCACCCATGGTCACCTGTTGGATTCCCAGTCAGGGTCCATGCCCAGGTTGCAGGCTTGATCCCAAGCAGGGGGTGTCCAAGAGGCAGCCAATCAATGATGATGTTTCTCCCTCATCAATGTTTCGATCTCTTTCTCTCCCTTCTTCTCTCTAAAAATCAATAAAGACGTATTTTATAAAAAGTGTGTACAGAGATGGGATAGGGGATGACTTAATCCTTTAGAGTCTATGTATTTTGTAAAAGTAGCTTTATGGCGGGGGCTCAGAGGCAGTGCATTTAATACACGTACATGGACCAGTGTGAAGTAAGTGGCTGCTTTAATGTTGTAATACAGACCAAATTGGCAGAGTGAGGCAGGAAGAAGCTCTTTGCCATCCTTCGAAATGCTGGGCTCTGGGGAGGAAGAGGACACCGACTCGCACCTGTCATCTAGCAACAAGGAGTCCTCGGAAGTCAGTGCTCATAAGGAAGAGGGAAGAGTTGGCGATGCTGTGTATGCCACGCCACACAGAAATCAGGTATTTGTCACATTCCAGGATTTCCACGGCACCTCGACATTAACTTACGGTAAATTGTGTATGTGTAAGGACTTTCTTTTCGCCCTTCTACCTTTGATGGCTTTTGTTCTGGGGCTTATTTTTTTAATGTGTCCAGTCTCGTTTTCTATCTGGTTAGGCTAAAATTTAAAACTTTTCCTTTACCTTTCAACGACAAACATCAGCATTTTCCGTGTAGATTTTCTTCTGATGCTGAGTAATCCTGTTCATTTCTTAAACCCCAAAAGCTAACTTTTCTATCACTTTTCCAATATCAGTATGCATAGTTGCAACCTTTCTTCTAAGTCATGCCTGGCAAAAGGAGTATCACCATTTATCTCCATAGCAGCTGGTATTGTCTGAGTGGTTACTGTGAGTCTATTTCAGGCTCTTACATGTATTTACCTCCCAGTATGGTGAGGTCGATTCCGTTTTTGAACCTATCACAGGTGAAAACCGAGGTACTGAGAGGTTGAAGGAGCCACTGCCCGACTGCTCTGGTTTCCAATCTGTGCTCCTAGGTTTTGAAAACCGGTTAGTGCCATTTCTTTAATGGCAAAAGACAGCACTGTAATTTCTTTTTTCCTTTCTCTTTTTTCACCATCATTATAACATGTGTTAGCATGGTGACTACACATGAAGACTGGCAGGTTCAAAGTATATTCATATTGATTATATTGATTACCCTCAACTATATTGAATCACATTTTTAAAAATACATATTTTATTGATTTCAGAGAGGAAGGGCGAGGGAGAGAGAGAGAGAAACATCAATGATGAGAGGGAATCATTGATTGTCTGCCTCCTGCACGCCCCCTGCTGATTGCAATTGAGAGGTTTCATGCGAACCTTTACATTGTCCTGGCAGATGGCATGAATGAAAGGTCCTTAAACTGGAAAGGGATTTCAATTTCCCATAGTCTCACGATTAGTTTCTTATTTTTCCTGGGGGCTGGTACACAGTAGCGGAGGAAGACGCATTGACCTTTTCTTAGCATTAATATATGCTAGGCAGCTTCCATGTACCATTATAAATATCTTTTTAAAATTGATTTTTAGAGAGAGAGAAAGGGAGAATCATTGATCAGCTGCCTCCTGCATGCTCCCTACTGGGGATGGAGCCCACAACCTGGGCATATGCCCTAACCGGGAATCAAACTAGCGACCTATTGGTGCATGGGTTGATGCTTAACCACTGAGCAACACCAGCCAGGCTACATGTACCATTTCATTTACTTCACACCCTTGGGGGTAAGTGTGTGAGGAAACAGGATAAATGACTTGCCAACCAACCATCCAGTTGCAGAGGCAGGATTCAGACTAGGGCGACCAATTTTCCCTATTAATTAAAATTGGTGTTTATAGTCCTTGTGCCTATTAAGAATATTTCTTAGAGATAAAGTTATTTTTAAAAAAACAGGCCAAATATTCTTAAGTTTATTATATGATTAAAATATATATCTTTGGCCCTAGCTGGTTTGTCTCAGCTGATCGTCAGCCCACAGACTGAAGGGTACTGGGTTCAATTCCAGTCAAAGGCATGTGCCTTGGTTGCAGGCTTGAACCCAGGCCCTGGTCGGGGCTTGTGTAGGAGGCAACCAGTCGATGTCTCTCTCCTTCATACTGATGTTTCTCTCTCAGTCTTTCCCCTTCCCTTCCATTCTTTCTAAAAATCAGTGAAAAAATACCCTTGGGTGAGGATTAACAAACAAACTGTTTTGTCTATATCTACCTTTGAAAAAAAAAATGGGTGTGTGGAGTATGTAAAACTGCTGTTTAATCACTAGATAACACCAGCTCTGAAGAAGATAGTGCCTATGGGTTACATTTTAATTTACATAATAAAAGTAAAATTTCCTTCCCTATATTTACTATGGATATTTTGTAATCTGAGGTGTTATAATTTTATCCTTTTTTACGAATCATTCATACTTCCTTTAAAATAAAGAGTTGTCAAAACTAGTAAAGTAAGAACAGACCAACCCAAGCAGGCACTTTGGATATAAGTCTCTATACCTCATGCCTCTCTCTGTTGCAGAGTAGTTTGGGCAACCATCTTCATATAATGTATGCACCTGCGCAGAAGTGGCCTAACAAATGCAAAGCAAATCTTGTTTTCAGGAGTTTTCTTATTGCTGCCACCCAAAAGTAAGGAATAAGTGGGGTGCCTGAACTTGTGGTCGGTTCACATGATGCTAGAGCCCAGTGGACAGAGCAATGCCATGGGCATTCAGAGACCTGAGTTCAACTCCCAGTTTCTCTACCTCCCTGTTGTACAACTTGGGTAAGTCAGATAACCTCCCTGCGCCTCAGTTTCTTCATCCTCTGCAGGATTGTATTATGGTGAAGACTGTCTTTGATCAGGTAAATAACTCAACAAATATTTATTGAGCATCCAATGAGTACCAGGTATGTGCCAGGTGCTGGAGAAGCAGTATAAGGCAGAGTCCATAGTTACCTAATTAATAGCAACCAATTACAATTATGGCAAATGTTACGAAGGAAGGGTCCAGGTGCTGTGAGACCATATAGTGGGGGATTTAGCCTTTTCTGAGAGGACTGCTGAGGGTAACAGCAAAGGGCTAAGAATGATTTAAACCTGCTTTCTTTTTCACATTAAAGTCACTTCATCTTTCTTTCTGATACCTTTGTAAGTTCACTCTTTATCCTTTGAAGTTCAGTACATCTCCAGAATTAATGGTGGCATTTATTATTTTCTGTCCTTTTTCCTGAAATTTAGTTTATAATTTAATTCAGCAGACAAAGATCCTCATTTCCTTTTTTATTTTCAGGGACTATTTCTCTCCCCTGTTTTGTCTTTGATTACTTTCACCATCCATTCATTCTATTCCCCTTTGAGAACACTAGCTATGCATTTGTTGGCTACCCTTTGTTTCCGTGTCTATTATATTTTCTGTAATCACCTGTCCCTCGTTTTTCTTTGCATTATCACTTTATGTGATTTCCTTTAGTGTACTCTGTGCATCTCTTTTAGCACTTTGTTACTGTGTTTTAGTACTTTTAGTATAGCTTTTACTTCTGTATTCGTTTTCCTTTTTCTTTTTCTTTTTTTGACTTCTGCCGGTTTACTTCTTATATCTTTCTGATGCTTTATCGCTTTTCTTGGTATCCTTTGGGATCTTTATGTCAGCCTGTGCTGCCTTTAATTTCTGTGAGAGTATGCAGGCTGGATTCTGGACAATAAAGGCAGGCTCTCCACAAGTGGCTCCCTTAAATTTCTCCTCCCCGGGAAGGACTGCTTCTCCTGGGCCTGCCCATGCCCTTGTTCTCATTGTACCCATCAGAGAAACTCTGTAACACTTTGTGAATTTTGAAGCATCTACATGCTTGAAGTTTAGCAGCTTTGGTATACTCCCTCTATTCCAGGTTTTCATAGATTTGGCAGCTGTTTTCTCCAGTTTGTGGTTTGAGACTGTGGCCATTGACTAAGCTTTTTAAATTTATTTTTATTTTATTCTTCTGATTGATTTCAGTTAGTTTTAAGGGAAGAGACCACCTAAATGCCGTGTTACCATTTTCAAATAGAAATCAGCAATAGGGCCGAAACCGGTTTGGCTCAGTGGATAGAGCGTCAGCCTGCGGACTGAAAGGTCCCAGGTTCGATTCCGGTCAAGGGCATGTACCTGGGTTGCAGGCACATCCCCAGTACGGGATGTGCAGGAGGCAGCTGATCGATGTTTCTCTCTCATCGATGTTTCTGGCTCTCTATCTCTCTCCCTTCCTCTCTGTAAAAGTTCAATAAAATATATTTTAAAAAAAAGAAAAGAAATCAGCAATAGGATGTTACTCGAGATCTGTCATGCATTCTTGCTATTGTTTGTGGATTTGCAGATCATCTTGTCATAAAATGCTATATAGTCACTCATTTGTACATTTGTTTACCCACCCACCTGTCAGCAAACCCATATTTGAGTGTTGCCATAAGCTTGGAAGGAGATGCAGAGAGGAACTATTCATAGAAGGGTAAACTAGTTCTTTCTAGAAACTTCTAGAAGCCAAGGGCATTCTTTTCCTGTTGTTGTTGAGGATTAGGAATGTCCCCTCTGTCCCCACGATTTAAATTTCTTTTTAGTTTTCTTTTTGTCACAAAGGTAATACACGAGTACACATTTCTTATAAAAACTTCTGATATTGCCAAAACCGGTTTGGCTCAATGGATAGAGCATCGGCCTGCGGACTGAAAGATCCCAGGTTCGATTCCGGTCAAGGGCATGTACCTGGGTTGCGGGCACATCCCCAGTGGGAGATGTGCAGGAGGCAGCTGATCGATGTTTCTCTCTCATCGATGTTTCTGACTCTCTATCTCTCTTCCTTCCTCTCTGTAAAAAATCAGTAAAATATATATATAAAAAAACACACAAAACACACACACACACAAAAAAAAACTTCTGATATTGCACATAAAGCAAAAGTCCACCTTGAAACCCTGCTGCTGCTATTGCTGTCCTCCTCTGCCCAGGAGCTTCTTTGGTCAGTTTGATGTTTGTATCATTTTTTGTTTTTAATCCTCACCTGAAGATATGTTTTTATTGATTTTAAAAATATTTTTAGAGAGAGAGAAACTTTGATGTTAGAAACGTCGATTGGCCTTAGCCAATTTGGCTCAGTGGATAGCGCGTCGGGCCTGTGGACTGAAGAGTCCCAGGTTCAATTCTGGTCAAGGGCACATGCCTAGGTGTGGGCTCGATCCCCAGTGGGAGGCGTGCAGGTGACAGCCAATCAATGATTCGCTCTCATTGATGTTTCTACCTCTCTCTTCCTCCTCTCCCTTCCTCTCTGAAATCAATTTTAAAAAATTAAAAAAAAAGAAAGAAACATTGTTTGCTTGCCTCCCATATGTGCTCTGACCGGGAATCGAACTGGCAACTCTTTGATGCAAGGGCTGTCGCTCCTGCATGCCCACATTGGGGATCGAACCCACAACTCGGCATGTGCCCCAAATTGAAATTGAACCATGACCTCCAGTTTGCTCAACCACTGAGCTACGCCAGCCAGGCTAAATTAAAACTTTTAAATTAGAATGTTGTTTTGAATATTATCACAGTTCTCTGGTCTATTTATTTCTTTTTCTTTTAAATGTATTTTTATTGATTTCTGAGAGGAAGTGAGAGAGGGAGAGAGAGAGATAGAACCATCAATAACAAGAGAGAATCATTGATTGGCTATTTCCTGCATATCCCCCACTGGAGATTGAGCCCACAACCTGGGCAGGTGCCTTGACTGGGAATCAAATCCACGACCTCCTGGCTCATAGTTTGGCGCTCAACCACTGAGCTATACCATTCAGGCCTTTGGTTTATTTACTGATGCATTAAATATACACAAAAGGTACATAAATCATAAGTGTACAGCTCAGTGAATTTTTACAAAGTATCCACCACCCAGATTTAAAAAATACAAAACATTATTAGTACCCCAGAAGTTCCCCTTTGTGACAGAGAAGGTCACTACTTCCCCCAGAGGTAAGCACTGCCCTAAACTCCAAGAGTAGATTAGAGCCTAGAAAATAACCTTAGATTAGTTTTGCCTATTCTGAAAATTCTGTGAATGTAATCACATAGTATGTATTCTTTGGGGTTTTTTAGAGTCTTCATTATTGTGCATGCAGTGATTGGTTCATTCCTATTGCTGTATACTATCCCATTGTACAACTGTACCATCCAATTACTTACTCATTTTATTGATGATGGATATTTGGTTGTTTCCAGTTTGGGACTTTCAGGAATGGTGCTGCTGTGAACATTCTGCATAGGAGATGCTCACAGGCAGTGGAGGAGAGGGTTCCATTTCATGAGGAAACATTTACAGGGGACTCACAAAGCCTGCGAACGTAACTGACCTCAACCCCAAATAGTTGCCGGACTGAGGGTTCTCACAGGGCAATTTGACAGCACTTGTCTCACATCGAGATGATAACACGGTAACAGTGCCAGGGTAGGATGGTATTTGGTGCTACGCACAGCAGGCCAGATGCAGCCCCTTGTTCTGAGTTGGTCTCTGGAAGGAAGGAGGAAGAGAGGCTGCCCAGGCAGCATGGGTGGGATTTGAAGTTCTGGATGGCCTAAGTGTAGTTCCAATGTCATTGCTTTTGCCACAGGACTCTTCCTAAGGAATCTGAAGTTTTGTCCCACCCTTTCAAGTGTAGTCCTTTTGTCTCTCAGGGAGGGAGATGGCACTGAAGAAAGTATGGAATAAGCCATTTGAGTTTACTGGGAGGAAATTTGATCACATGTTTCCTCCTTTGTCTCTTGTAGCAAAAGGTTCCATTGTCACATGGGGTGGACAGTGAAGATGAGGACAATATTTCTGAGCAAGATCCAACTCTTATACCACAGCATACACAAGAAAAAGGTAAAAACAAAATAAAACAAAAAAACACAAAAAACCCCCAAACACCCACAATTTTTCAAATAGTAAAAACATTTTGTGACAATAAATGTTGGTTAACTTGGGGGAACATATAGCCATTGCACCTCCATACTGTGATTCTGTTATTACAAGTAGGAATATTTCTGAATTTTATTTTCACTGGAGGTAAGTTACTCCAGAGTCAATTGCCTGGATACTAAGTTGTACTCATTTTGGAGTCCATTTCGTAAGTTCTGTCCGTCAGCCCTGAGAGGACACCTGGGGAAAAGGGCTACGGCTCAAGCTCTGAAGCTCTACACACTCCTTCCCCCTTCACCCCGACCGAGGCCAGGCGTTGCAAGGGCTGAAGCCCAGTGGTCTCCATGCTATCTCCAGTGCCTGGAGCTGGGCCCAGCCCACAGTAGGCTGTCTCTAAGGGTTTGTTGGGTGAATGAGTGCATGGACATGTTTATAATAGAACTCTAACTGTATGTTGCCAATTGTCTGTATATTTTGTCTGGCACTGTGAGAGAATTCAGAGTATTATAGTAAAGGTAGGAAATTCTTTTCAGTTTCCTAAAAGATGGCTTATGTCTGAGAAGTGAGAAAGAGAGCCTGACATACAGTGGGCACCAATAACTGCTTTATCAGGACCCTCCTGAGAGTTGGTTGTGCTCAAGGAGAGGTGATTGGAAAATAGAATGCCAGCTAGTAATACCTGGGCCAGAAACACCAATTGGTTAGGTGGCATATTTTATCCCTATGGGAAAATCTGTGTGAATATTAAAGTCATGTAAAAACTGTATTCCTTGCCGAAACCGGTTTGGCTCAGTGGATAGAGCGTCGGCCTGCGGACGGAAGGGTCCCAGGTTCGATTCCGGTCAAGGGCATGTACCTGGGTTGCGGGCACATCCCCAGTAGGAGATGTGCAGGAGGCAGCTGATCGATGTTTCTCTCTCATCGATGTTTCTGACTCTCTATCTCTCTCCCTTCCTCTCTGTAAAAAATCAATAAAATATATTTTTAAAAAAACTGTATTCCTTTTTTAATTATAGAAGTACTACTTTTGCACTGTAAAAAAATGGAAATGCATAAATATATCAAGTTAAACACACATAATTGTACTTCATAGATAATTAATTTTATTTTATTATTTTTTGTTGTTGATCCTTACCCGAGGATATTTTTTCCATTTATTTCTTTTTAGAGAGAGTGAAAAAGAGGAAGAGAGGGGTAGAAAGAGAGAGAGAGAGAGAGAGAGAGCAAGAGAGAAACATCAATGTGATGTGAGAGAGACACAGTGATTGGTTACCTCCCACAAGCGCCCCAACTCGGGCCAGAGATCAAACCTGCAACCCAGGTATGTGCCCTTGACTGGGAATCAAACCCACGACCCTTCAGTGCAGGCCGACACTAACCACCAGCCAGGGCTAGATAATTACTTTTATTATTTTAATTTTTTTTTAAGACCCTTCAGTCCACAGGCCAACACTCTATCCACTGAGCCAAACCAGCTAGGGCTAGATAATTACTTTTAACATACAAATGGGTATGTATATAAAATACACATTATTTTCTTACCTGCCTTTTTAAAATCTAATGACACATCCTGAATATCTCCCTATGTTCATGCATGTCCATCCACTTTTTTTTTCTTTGACTTTAGAGAGGAAGGAAGGAGGAGAGAAGAGACATCAGTGTGAGAGTGAAATATTGATTGGTTGCCTCCTGTACACATCCCGACCCAGGATGGAATCCACAACCTAATTATGTGTCCTAACTGGGAATCAAACTGGTAGCCTTTCGTATTTTGTTCCAGTCCCTTCTGACCTGCAAAGTTTCTGTTGAGAAATCAGGTGATAGTCTTATGGGAGCTCCATTGTAGATAATAACTGCCTTTAAGATTCTCTCTTTGTCTTTCACCTTTGGCATTTTAATTATGATGTATCTTGGTGTGGGCCTCTTTGGGTTCATCTTATTTGGGACTCTATGCTTCCTGGACTTGTGTGTCTATTTCCTTCACCAAATTAGGAAATTTTCTGACATTTTTTAAAATAGGCTTTCAATTTCTTGCTCTCTTCTTTTTTTGGCACCCCCATGAAGAGTTGGTACTCTTTTTTAAAAAATATATTTTTATTGATTTCAGAGAGGATGGGAGAGGGAGAGAGAGAGAGAAACATCAATGATGAGAGAGAATCATTGATCAGCTGCCTCCTGCACACCCCCTACTGGGGATCGAGCCGACAACTGGGGTATATGCCCTTGACCAGAATCAAACCCAGTACACTTCAGTCTGCAGGCCTATGCTCTATCCACTGAGCCAAAACAGCTAGGCCTGTTGGTACTCTTAATGTTGTTCCAGAGGCCCCTTAAATGGTCCTCATTTTTTGGATTCTTTTGTCTTTGCTATTTTGATTGGGTGTTTTCTGCTACCTATTTTCCAAATTGCTGCTTTGATCCTCTACTTCACAATCTACTGTTGATTCATTTTACTGTTTCTTCATTTCAGTTATTGTACTCTTTATTTCTGTCCTTTTTTATGTTTTTTATCTCCATTTCTATGTTTTTATCTTTTTGTTGAAGTTCTCACTGAGTTAATCTATCTTTTTCTAAGTTCCTGGAGCATCCTTATAACCATTATTCTTTAAAATATATATATTTTTAAAATATATTTTTATTGATTTCAGAGAGGAAGGAAGAGGGAGAGAGAGATAGAAACTTCAATGTTGAGAGAGAATAATTGATCAACTGCCTCCTGCATGACCCTTACTGTGGACCAGCCCCAAACCCAGACATGTACCCTGACTGGGAATCAAACCGTGACTTCCTGGTTCATAGGTCAACACTCAACCACTGAGACACAGTGGCCTGGCTATCACCGGTATTTTGAACTTTGTATCTCTGGTAGATTGCTTGTCTTAATTTTGTTTAATTTTTTGGGTGGGGGAGTTTTGTCCTCCTGTTCTTTCGTTTGGGACATGTTGCTTTGTCTCCTTGTTTGGGCTGCCTCCCTGTGTTTGTATTAGGTAGAGCTGCTGTGTGTCCCAGGCTTTGTAGAGTGGCCTAATGCAGTACCTGTCCTGTAGGGCCCACTGGCACAGCCTCTGTAGTAATCCGAGCTGAGCACTCCAGGTGCAACTCCCCGCACCCCCTACCACATATGGGCTCTGTACACCCTCTTGTTTAGTAGTTGAGCCTTGATTTCTGTCAGTGGGAGGGACTGACCCCCAGGCCAATCAGCTGTGTGGATTGGCCAAGACTATAGCAGAGGAGTTTTTGTGTAGGGGCCGACTACATGGAGCAGGACTTGCTTCAGCAGGGCTCAGTGCGAGATGAGTCTGCTGGTGGAGGTGACTGGGTGATGCTCTCGTGTGGTCTGAAGCTGTCCTCTGGGTGCATTGGCCCAGGAGCCTCCCTGGAGGTGCAGGCCACAGTTAGCCACTGCTTGTGCCGTGCCAGGGACCACCCAGCATGTGGCTCCTGCAGATAGTTGCCACTTGTGCTGGAGGTGCCCAGGAGAGGCCAAGCTATGAACCAGGGCTGGCTGCTGCTAGTACTGGGCTTGGGCTGCTTGGCAAGAGGTGAAGGGCATGCTGAGGCCAGATGCTGCTTTTTTGAGATTTATGAACCTTTGAGAGATTTTAGCAAAGTCTGAAGTTCGAGCCAAGCGGCTTGGGTGGGTCTGAAAGTTGGGTGAGGATCTCAGGGAATCACCCAGGTAGGGTGAACAGTGTTAGCCAGGTAAATGGAGACTCAAGTATGTGCCTGCTGCCAGCTCTATGGGGGGAGGACTCAGCAAAGGAACATGTCTTCTGCTAGCACTTCTGTCTGGGAGAAAGCTACCCCTCCAGCCCTCACCCCAAAGCCAGACAATTTAGTTCCTATGTTCAGAGCAAGTGAGTCTGAGTAAGTCGGAGTGTGGGCCCTTTAAGAGGAACTGCCTGGGACCCCAGCAGCCTTCCGTCTTACTCAGACTCAATCTCTGCTGTATTATGGGGACTTCTGTTCCTGGCCCTGGAACCCTGGGCTGGGACTCCTCCCCAGCTGAGATATCCCTCCTGATTCTTAACCTCCTCACATGGGTGTGGGACATGACCATTCTGCATTTCTGCGCCTCCTACCGGTCTCCCTGTGGCTTCCTTAGTTATAGGAGTTCTGTTCAGCTAGACTTCAGGCAGTTCTCAGTGATGGTTGTTCAGTAGTTTAGTTGTAATTTTGAAGTGGTCACGAGAGATGTCAGTACTGCATTTACCTACTCTGCCATTTTGACGAGAAGCCTGTTTTTCCCCCCGCCCCATTTAATCCCCTGCCCTCCCCCAACTTTATTTTGTGAAGAATTTAAGGGACACATAGAAGATTCCATTAAATACGAAAGAAGTAGATCTGACATAGCATTGGAAGATACCAAATCAAGAATATTGTAACAGTTATTAAAAATGTAAATTATTTTAATTATGTTTTTTATCAGTTTAAACATTTGCTCATCAGAAATTTATCCAGCTTACTATGTGCCAGAAATGATGGAGCCACAGCCTTTACCCTCACATTCTAGTTGCAGGGGAGGATGTGTAGATGGTAAACTGCCTGGGTGCCAAGGCTGCTCGTAGAAGTGGGCACAAAGACCAGAGAGCAATCAACATTGTCTGCCAGTTGTAGAAAGTGGCAGGGAGAAGAGGCCATTAGGCTAGAAGGACTGGGTAGGATTTCATCTGGTGCCCAGGCCAGGCTGCCCCAAAACACGTGATCAAAACCAGGTCTGTTAATATTGAATGTCAACTTTAATTGGAAAAATGTTTAAAAATACATTTTTTTAAAAGGCAGTTTGTTTAAAAATAGTGGATTAAGATGACTTTTCGGTAAAAAATAAGCTCTTCATTGATTAGTTGCTCAAGTGTTAGTAATTGTAATGAACCAGTAAGCAAATTTATAATGTTGTATGCATCTTTAAGCATTTTTGTTTGTTTTTCTGAATTCTGTATATATATATTTTTTGCATATTTGCTTCTAATTTATTTCTCAGCCAATTATTTCTGCTCTGCAAATTAATTGTGGAAAGTTAAAAGCAATGAACTTCTAAAAAGTTGAAAACTCAACTTTTCACTACAACAAAGGATACAGGCAAACTGGGTCATAAGGTCAACTTCTTCATGGAGGATATTAATCACAAGTATATATTTATAAGTCAAAAATGAGTTACTGGACAAGATTTGTTTTCGGGTGTGTCATTGAGGCAGTTTGCTTCAAGGAACACCTACGGTTCTGACCAAGTTGGATGCTACTTCCAGGCAGGGTAGGCCCAGCCCATTTGGGGAATGGCAGGTGGAACCTGTGGAGGGAGCACTGAGGGGGGGGGGGGTAATGTTGGAAAGACGGGGAGGAGCCCTACATGGAAAGGGCTCAGAGTCACACTGAGGCATTTGGCCTTGGTTCTGCAATCCTGTGAGCCACTGAAGGTGCAAAGGAATGAGCAGGATAGTCAAGGATGAGCAGTTCAGAGCTGGGCTCCCGGCCTCGCTCTGGGACCAGCTTGTCATGCGATCTGGCCACGCCTGCTGCCGCTTCCCTGCCTTGTTTAGCTCCGCTGTAGAAGGTGAGTTTCTGTGATTGTACTCTTCTGAGATGTCAAATGTATTTATCTGCTTTTAATTTTTTCTCTTGTCTTTTTAAAATCAGAGGGTGAACATTCTGTTCTGACCTTAAAGGTAAGATTAGTTTTTCAAAAACTGGTTTTCTCAATAGATTGAATTTCTTCCATAATGTTTAAATAACTTTTGATTTTTGGCGGGGGGGGACCTCCCTTAAGAGTTCTTTCTGATTGGATGTTTTTTCCTTTTTTTAATCCTCATCCAAGGACATGCTTAAAGAGAAGAAGGGAGAGAGAGAGAGAGAAATATCGATCATTGCCTTCCCGTGCACGCCCCAAGCAGGGAGTGAATTCGCAACCCAGGTGTGTGCCCTGACTAGGAATCAAACCAGCACAGGACGATGCTCAACCAACTGAGCCACTGCGGGCAGGCTGAATGGTTGTTTTTAAATACTTAAAAACTTGAAGAAATTAACTTGAAGAAATTAATATTTTCCACAGTTTAAAAATGAAACTAATGTATTGAGAGGTTTGAAATCACATAATTTGTAGAATGAATAGACAATAACTAATTTGCAAACATGGAAATAGTTCTAACTTAAGTTTTGAATTGTGTGAGGTCATAGGAATTTAAAAATTAAACATTTCTCAGTAGAATCTATATATTAAAAAGCCTAATATGCAAATTGTCCCCAGGGGAGTTTGACCAGACAGATCGCTTGCTGTGATGTGTGCTGACCACCTGAGGACGGTGCAGAATGAAGGAAGGCCCCAGCTGGCAGCTGGAAGGCTCCAATGGGCCCTGATCACCAACTAGGCCTAGGGACCCTACTGTGCACAAATTTCATGCACCGGGCCTCTAGTTAATTTATAAACCTCATCTACTTTTTCAGCAGAAATTAGAAACTTAGTATCAGACTGATGTGTAATGGAAAAATTAACAAAAGTTAAAGCTTTCCCTTTCCTCGAGGTTTTGTGTTGAAAAGCAAGAACTTATATTCTTTTCTTGGCACCCTGAAAAATGTGCTTCTCTGCAGTTTATGGGGTCTTCTTGCATGTCCCAAGGAGAAAGTCCTGGCTGGAGTTTGCTTTGTACATCTCTCTGCTCAGCACCTGCAGCCATATCACATGCTTTAAGAATGTGAACTGATGGCCCATTACTCATGGGACCTACATATAGAGACAGTGACTGACTGAACTTACAGGCAAAAAGGCAGAAAGTTTGAACAGAAGATGCTAACACTCTCAATTTATTAGGCTCATGACTTTCTTCCCCTTAGGATGAAAAAACACCATTATGCGGAAAACCTCCACCCTCCCCAGGTATTTGCCTTTTGAATTTGATTATGATTGAAAAGCTTATAGTGGAAGTATGTCCTCTGGAGCTGTGCTCAGATCCTGGGAGTGGGGACGGGAAGGATCTGTGGGAGGTGCTTAGATACTGGGAGGCTGGGTATATGCTAATAAGGGTTCTGCTCTGGGGCTGGAGGCAGTGTGAGATTTAGAGATGTTTTCTGGGGCACTCTCCCCTATAATGTCTGTGGAGCTTCGGTAGCTTTCAAAGTGAATTTTGTAAATTTTGCCTGTTATGCTTCACATCACTATCCAAAAACTGTATTGGGTATCAAGACTTCTCAGCCTGTCCTCCGTTCTGTCTTAGTGTTGACTTGACGTTCACCCATTCTATCTCTGGTTTTGGTGTCGTTGTAGGAGTTTGCTAGGGCTCTGACTTCTAGCCCATAGGCTCATTCGTCTTTGTATATATCCTGCCACTTAGCCCATCCTTTGAATTTATGTATTACTCAAAATGTTTGCTTATATGATTTCTATGAAATATCAACAAGCATCTCTTTGAAAATGTTAAATATACTTATTCCAAAATCTTGTCATTTTTGTGCCAGCCACTCTCTCCTCTATAATTTGACTTGGGTGCTTTTCTTGGCTCTGACACTTGCTGGTTCTTGGTGGTGTGCCCATCTTGGTCCTTGAGAGCCCCTGTTGGTCTGCCTGGAGACATTGTATCTGCTTACTGCAGGCTGCTCAGATGGGGAAACAAGCAAGGCTGCCAGTTGTACAGCCTGTCTCTGGTGACTGACAGGCCCGGCGGGGGTTTTAGGGGTCCCTCTTCCTTATGGGATTCTACACCCCTTCGGGCCTGCCCTACCTCTTCAGTGCCTGCCTGGCCCAAAGGATTTGAGCCCCATCTGGTGCTCTAACTGGACATCTTTCTAGGCCATTTAGGTTCCTATTATCTGCCAGGGTGAGGCATCCCCACCTTTTGTAGCTGACGTCTCCTGACATATTTTAGGCTGCAACTTCTGTCTTCAACCTAATCTCAATTGTTTTCTTTCTGGGGTTCCCCTCTTGTTCTCAGTGTAGCTGTGGAGTTACTCATTTCTTAGCCTTTCCTTTCATGTTCTAAAGACTGGATATATGCATATCAGGGTCAGAGGGTGTTATCTGGAGTCACCTGTCCCCTCCCTAGCTTTTGCCTGTCCCCTGGGGTGTGTGCTGAATCTCCTGTCTGGAGCCACCAGCCTTCCCCCGCTTGACTATCTACAGAAGCTCTGTTTCCACCTCCACTTGGAGGTGTGCCCTAGCCAGGGAGCCCATTGTAGTTTTCACGTTTTTTGAGCTCTGAGCATATCTCTCCATGGAACATCACTCTGTTTTCTTCCCATATTTCCTTTTTCTTTTCTTTTTTAAATATATTTTTAGTGATTTCAGAGGGAGAGAGAAACATCAATGATGAGAGAGAATCATTGATCACTGCCTCCTGCACTTCTTCTATTGGGGATCGAGCCCACAACCGGGGCATGTGCCCTCGGCCGGAATCGAACCTGGGAACCTTCAGTCCGCAGGCGGACGCTCTGTCCACTGAGCGAAACCGGCTAGGGCTCTTCCCATCTTTCTTGCTTTTCCTTGTTAAAATCCTTTGTGATCTCTGATTTTCTTCTCTCCATGATGCCATCAGATACTGCCCACACCCTGGTGGCTCCCCTCTGTTTCAGCGGAGTCTGCCTTCAATGCTATGGGCCTGTGTCCTAAACTGAGCTTAGCTTCTCTTGCTCCACTTGTTTCCTTGTCTGGCTAAGTGTCTTCCAAAGGCTGATCTTGATTTGCCCCTCCCTGTTGGGTCCTGTGAGGCTTTAGCCCCCCAGTCTTTCGCTCATATATCCCTTCTCTGTTCCCATCGTAGTGCTGCCCTCAGAGCTCCTCTGGGCTGGGCCTCATTCCTTCCCTTTCTTTCCTGCTGCCCTGAGGGACTCATCTGAGAGTTGAACCTCTTCTTTTCACACCTCTGCCCAAAAGCCTTCCTGGTTCCTGGTGGCCTCCACTCTGCATATTATGATATACAAGCGCCTCCCCTGAGTCCTGCTTCCCCCTCTGTCACCTCTCTTGTCATCCCCTGTAGTCTCACCAGACCACTCATTCTTTCTTGTGCAGGCCATTCTCTTTCCCAGGAGCAAAAAGGATAACATGAGGCCTGACACAAAGTAGTTGCTAACATGGTTTTTCGAATGAAGTCTCACGTAATTTTGATGTAAAATTGTAAATGTCAATATTTTAAAACGTTTTCCTTATACCTTTTCAGATATAACTGGTAAAACACGTCAACGATGTATAGAAATAACCAAAGAAAAGTTTGAGGAATTAAAAGAAGAAAATTTGCTTCTGAACACAACAAACCAAACACTTACTCTTGAACTTAACATAGTAAAACAAGCAATGAAAGAACTACAGTTAAAATTTAAGAGAAGAGTAAAAGAAAATGGAAAGCTGAAAGAGGCCGAGAAGGCATCCTCTAAGGAAGGTGGGGACAACTACAGTTTTTTAATTAAAGGAACAAACAGGACTTAACTCATTTTCTTATTTTGAGAGTTAATATTTTAGGTTCTAATATTTATTGATTTTAATGTTGATATATTTTAGGTTCTTTTGTGAAATTTGACTATCTGCTATATCATTATTGTTATGCTAAAGAAATTCCAATACTTCTGGATTTGATGCTTAGGAAGGTAACTTTACATGTATTTCATATCAGTTTTTATCTCATTGAACAGCATATAAAAGTGCCTTTTCACCACATACTTACCAATAATGAGGATTATATTTTTCTTGCTAATTTTTTAAAAAATATATTTTATTGATTTTTTACAAAGAGAAAGGGAGAGGGATAAAGAGTTAGAAACATCAGTGAGAGAGAAACATCAATCAGCTGCCTCCAGCACACCTCCCACTGGGGATGTGCCCGCAACCAAGGTACATGCCCTTGACTGGAATCGAACCTGGGACCCTTGAGTCCGCAGGCCGACGCTCTATCCACTGAGCCAAACTGGTCAGGGCTCTTGCTAATTTGATAGGCAAAAAAAGAATCCCATTTTTTAAAAACATATATTTTATTGATTTTTTACAGAGAGGAAGGGAGAGGGATAGAGAGCTTGAACCATTTGACCTGAATCAAACATGGGACCCTTCAGTCCATAGGCCAACGCTCTATCCACTGAGCCAAACCGGTTAGGGCAGGAATCCCATTTTAAATTGTATTTCTCTTATTATCAGTGAGCTTGGGTATTTTTTTCATATCTTTGCATATCATTTTCTTTTCTTTTATAAATTTTCCCATTTTAAAAAACCTGTTTTTATTTATTTTAGAGAAAGAGGAAGGGAGAGGGAGAGATCAAAACATGAACAGTGAGCCCTAGTCGGTTTGGCTCAGTGGATAGAGCGTTGTCCCACAGGCTGAAGGATCCGGGTTTGATTCTGGTCAAGGGTACATACCTGGGTTGCAGGTTCACTCCCCAGCCCTGGGGGGGACACGTGAAGTAGGCAACCAATGGATGTGGCTTTTCCCCTCCCTTCCACTCTCTAAAAATCAATGGAAAAATATCATCAGGTGAAGATTAGCAACAACAAGAAAAGATAAATAAAATATAAAAAACATAAGCATCTATTTGTTGCCTCCTGCACGCCCCTACTGGCGATCCAGCCCAGCCAGGGCTGCATTATAGTCTTTATTCAGGTTTCTAATGTCTACCTCTTAACAATAGTACAGTTGTCCACGCTAAGAAATTAACATTGGTATATTGTTGTTTTTTAAATTCTCACCCAAGGATATGTTTTTATTGACAGAGAGAGAGAGAGAGAGAGAGAGAGAGAGAGAGAAGAGGGAGAGAAACAGAAACATTGATGATTTTTGAACCTCAACCGAGGATATACATTGATGTGAGAGAGAAACATCAATTGGTTGCCTCCCATACACACCCTGACTGGGGACCAAACTCACAACCTAGGTATATGCCCTGACTGCAACCTTTTGGTACATTGGATGATGCTCCAACCAACTGAGCCACAATGGCCAGGGCTAAATTTTCCAACTTCAAATTGAGATATCTGGCTTTTTCTCATTGTTTTGTAGGAGCTCTTTGTGTATTAAGGATGTTAGCCTTCAGTTTGTTGATAATTTAAATCTAAAGGATATTTTTCTTTTATGGCTTATGCCCTTGATGTCAAGTCCTTTTTACCTCTCAGGTTATACATATATTCACTGATTTTTGTCTCTATACATCTATCTATTTATATAAGGCTAATATTATTGCCTGAAGAAAGATTATATCATTTTCTTCATATAGACCTTGCATATTTCTTGTCTTAGTCACACTTATTTCTAGATACTTTACATTATTTCTGTTATTACTTTGTGGGATCTATTTTCTATTATGTTTTTTAATATTTGGGAAAGTTATTTTAATAAATTTTCCATTTATACTATATGATTTGCAAGGCAAGTATTTATATATCATTGGAAACAATGACTTTTCCTTTTCAATCTGAAGTTTTTATTTTACCTTAATTAGTTGTACATGTAAAAATTTCCACAAACTTCCAAAGTGTTGACTATTTAGTGTTAAAAAACTTAGAAACTTTTATTCATTTGAACCTATATGTAATTCACTCTCTCTGTGAGCCCAAAAGGGCAGATGGTTAGCAATTCCTATAAAATCTTAATCTATTTGATACATGTTCTTAGAGGATAATATTAATTTTTTTCAGAAGTTGCTGCACCTGAATTACTTTATCTAAGAAAACAAGCTCAAGAACTGGTGGATGAAAATGATGGGTTGAAAATGACTGTCCATCGTTTGAATGTAGAACTGAGCAGATATCAAACAAAATTCAGGCATTTATCAAAGGAAGAGGTAATGTTTCCAATTAAGAAAAATCAGCCTTTTTTTAGCCTTTCAAGTTGAATTGAGGGATTCATATTTATTACAATTTGGCATAAAAAGACACACACAAAGCACAGCATATTCTAGGGACCTTTCTATTTCCTTCTTCTCCCCTCCACCTCCCTTCCTTTCTTCCTTTCCTTCCCTCTTTTTTTTTTTTTAATATATCTTTATTGATTTCAGAAAGGAAAGGAGAGGGAGAGAGAGAGAGAGAAATATCAATGATGAGAGAGAATCATTGATTGGCTGCCTCCTGCATGACCCCACTGGGGATCAAGCCCGCAACCCAAGAATGTGCCCTTGACCAGAATTGAACCTGGGATCCTTCAGTCCACAGGCCGACGCTCTATCCACTGAGCCAAACCACCTAGGGCTCCATTCTAAGTCTTGTTCCTCAAGTTTACAACTGTAATTTATCAGTGCACTACTCTCAAAAGAAGACAGACTAGTTTATACAGACCCCAAATCACCTAACTCTGGTCAATGGGACTTGCATTCATGAGTCTCACACAGGTTTACAGCAAACAAGAAACAGTTTTTAAATGGGCTCAGGAGCACACCCCCAAACTCCGAAGCTGTATCCCAGGCTCAGTGCAAAGGGAGCACGCAAAAATGGCCATCTCCCACTTTTTCCCTAAAGGGGTGTCACTGCATACTTTCCTGATGCTGCCTGAGGGTCTGGCTTCTCATCATCCTGCATCTAGGTGCTGACTGCAGTCCCCTCGTCGGGACACTGTGGGTCTTGGTAACTCCTCAACTACTGGGAGCCACTAAGAACAAAGACAGTGGACTATCACAAAGGTTTGAAAGGCAACCAGGAACCCCAACTGGGCTGATAGGTGAGGTTCATCTCCTATAAGAGACCATTCTGCCAAGACTAGGAGAAAAGGCTGCTTTATCTAATTAGCAACCTAACTCAGAGGGTCTAGGAAAATGAAGAAAGGAAGGAATGTGTTTCAAATAAAAGAACAAAATTAATCTTCAGAAATCAGCCTTAATGAAGTGAAAATAAGTGATTTACTCAGTCGTATAACCGTGGTAAAGATGCTCATCAAGGGAGCTCTCCCTCAGGGGAGCACGCCCACACCTTTCTTCCTTCTCAGGCACGCATCTGAGGGGCCCACGACACTGGCAACCAGGAGAGCAATAGGCGGAGGCAGCTTGTCCTGGGCTAACCCCTGAACCTATCTCCAAGGCCCCCTGTTCTCTGACTCTCCAGTGAGCCAAAGCAGCCCTGCCTAGGCTCTCCTCTGTTGCTGCTTCTATCCTAAGCTCTTCCTTGTCTCACTGTCCCCAGCTTTCACAACAGTACTCTCACAAAGAAATTAAAGATGCTCAGCGAGGTCAGGACACAACAGTACTCTCAAAACAAAGAAATTAAAGATGCTCAGCGAGGTCAGGAGAGCAATGTATGAACAAGTGAGAATTTCCAGAGATAGAGGATATAAAAAGGTACCAAAGAAATCATAAAGCTGAAGAATACAATAACTGAACTGAAAAATTCAGTAGGAGGGTTCCATAGCAATTGGAAAATATCCTCGGGTGAAGATTAACAAAACAAATAAATAAAATAGAGAGACCCACACCAAAACACATTATTTTAAATTGTCAAAAGGTAAAAGGAGCACGCAAAAATGGCCATCTCCTACTTGGAGTCAGTGAGTCTCCAAGAGAGAATCTTAAAAATAGCTAGAGAAAATGTTTTTCACATACAAGGGAACTTCCATAAGACTATAAGTGGATTTTTTCAGCAGAAACTACAGGCCACAAGGGAGTAGGATGATCTATTCAAAGTGCTAAAAGAAAAAATTCTGCCAAATAAAAATAGTCTACCTGGAAAAGTTGTCCTTCAGAACTGAGATAAAGAGTTTTCCAGATAAACAAAATTCAAAGGAGTTCATCACCAGCTGACCAGCCTTACAAGAAATGTTAAAAGGAATTCTTCAATGCCCAGCCAGTGTGGCTCCGTGGTTGAGTGTTGACCTATGAACCAGGAGGTCACAGTTTGATTCCCTGTCAAGGCTTATGCGCAGGTTGCAGGCTCAATCCCCTGTAGGGGGTGTGCAGGAGACAGCCAGTCAATGATTCTCTCTTATTGATGTTTCTATGTTCCTTCTCTCATCCTCTTTGAAATCAATAAAAAAATATTTTTTAAAAAATGGAGTTCTTCAAGCTGAAAAGGATCGGTACTAATTAGTTAGTTTGTGTGTTTTTTTAAAATATATTTTATTGATTTTTTTACAGAGAGGAAGGGAGAGGGATAGAGAGTTAGAAACATTGATGAGAGAGAAACATCGATCAGCTGCCCCCTGCACATCCCCTACTGGGGATGTGCCCGCAACCAAGGTACATGCCCTTGACTGGAATCTAACCTGGGACCCTTGAGTCCACAGGCTGATGCTCTATCCACTGAGCCAAACCGTTAGGGCAGAATCGGTACTAATTAGTAACAAAATCATATGAAAGTATAAAACTTACTGGTAAAGGTAAATATATAGTTAAATTCAAAATACTCCAATATTGTAATGATGGTGGGTAAATCATACCTCTAGTATAAAGGTTAAAGACAAAAGTATTCAAAATAACTATACAATAGTGCTCGCTTCGGCAGCACATATACAAAATAACTATACAATAATTTGTAATTGGATAAACAATATAAAAGGTATAAATCATATCAAAAACAAAATGTGGGGTGGTGGTAAAAATATAGAGCTGTGTGTGTAGTGTGTACTGAGACCCACCAGTGACCCCGTGAGGGGAATTGTAGTGAGCATGTAGATGCAAGCTGATGAGAAGCTCAAAGTTAAGTTTTTATTCGCTTAAAATGACTGTTAAAAATGTCTTATGCAAGCCTCATGGTAATCACAAAGCAAATACCTATAATAGATGTACACAAAAGAGAAGGAGAAAGGAAGAATCAAAGTATACCACTACAGGAAAGCATCAAATCACAAAGAAAGAGAGCAAGAAAGGCAGGAAGGAATTACAAAACAGCCAGCAAACACTGAACAGATGGCAACTAAAAACGCCATACTTAATAATTAATTTAAATGAAAGGACTAAATTCTACAATCAAAAGATATAGAATGGCAGAATGGATAGAGAAAAAAGATCCAACTATATGCTGCCTAGAAAAGACTCATTTCAGCTGTAAGGACATACTTAGACCGAAAGCGAAGGGATAGAAACATACATTTAATGTAAATGGAAGCCAAAAGAAAGAAGGGGTAACTATGCTTATATCAGACAAAATAGAGTTTAAATTAAAACGGTAAAAGAGACAAAGAAGGTTATTACATAATGGTAAAGGAGGCAATTCATCAAGAGAATATAATAATTGTAAATATTTATGTACCCAATATCAGAGCACCTAAATATATAAAGCAAATATTAACAACTCAAGGGGAAAATAGCAATAATAGTAGGGGACTTCAATACCCCAATAATAGATATATCATCAAGATGGAAAATCATAAGGAAATATTGGACTTAAACTACATGTTAGATCAGACAGACCTAATACAGAACTTTTCATCCAACAGCAACAGAATACACACTCTTCTCAAGTGCACATGGAACATTCTCCAGGACAGATCATATGTTCGGACACAAAACAAGTCTGAATAAATTTAAGAATATTGACATATCAAGCGTCTTTTCTGACCACAGTGTATGAAATTAGGAATCAAGTATAAGAAAATTTACAAATATGTGGACATTGAACAACATGCTACTGTACAACCAGTGGGTCAAAAGAGAAGTAAAAAAATACCTTAAAACAAATGAAAATGGAAAAGGAATTAAAAATACCTTGAAACAAATGAAAATGGAAGCATGACATGCCAAAACTTATGGGAAGCAGCAAAAGTAGTTCTAAAGGGAAATTTTATAGCAATAAATACTAACAATAAAAGTAAAGAATAAATAAATAACCTAAGTTTACACCTTGAGGAACTAAAAAAAGACTTTTAGTTCAAAGTTAACAGGAAAAATAAAATGAAAATCAGCAGAAATAAATGAAATAGAGACTAAAAAGACAACAAAACACATCAATGAAACTATGAGCTGGTTTTTTGAAAAGACATACGTTTGACCAGCCTTTAGCTAGACTAAGAAAAAAGAAGGTGATTCAAATAAGATTAGAAATAAAGAGGAGGCATTAGAACTGATAACACAAAAATACTAAGGATCATAAGAAACTGAACAGTTATACTCCCCCAAATACTACATGGTATTTAAAAAAAAGTTGAACTCAGAAAATAGGTGAAAGTTGAATATATTCTGTAGATTAGAATATAGTATGTCATTGTTGAGTTCTTGATTTTTATGATGGCAGTGTGGTTAGTAAGTGAAAGTTTTTCTTTTTAGGAAATATACACTGAAGTATTACAGGAAAGGAGGCATTGTATCTCAAATTATTCTCAAACATTCCAAAAGAACATTTTTCTACACATATAGATGCATAGATTGCTGATGCATAGTTGATTAAGAATATCTTAAGGCTTAAAATTTCAGAAGTACAGTTTAATTTGTCTTCAAAATGTGTTTTGTTCTTAGAGTATAAATATTGAAGGCCTACCATCAAAGGGCCCTATACCACCCTGGTTGGTAAGTAAAAGTTATTTAATTTCAGGCCCATTTTTTCTGGGCTATATTTGAATAGTTATTCAATCCATTCCAAATTAAGTGTATTTTATCATCTTTAAAAAAATTTGCTGGTTGTGTTTAGATGTAAGAAATATATTAACCTTCTTTACCAACCGTTATCTTCAGTTGGATATAAAGTACCTGTCACCCTTGTTGCTGGCTTATGAAGACCGAATGAAAGAAAAAGACGAGCTCATTTCCACCCTTCAGGTAGGTTGGCAGATATCAGAAGAGACAAGATTTATTAAAAAATAAGACCATTTTAAACTTTGAATACCCATTCAAACATCTAACAGGTACTCAAATGTTTGTTAAAGGAAAGGAGAAAGGAAGGAAGGAAGCAGGCAGGAGGCAGGGAAAGAAGGAAGAGGGGAGGCAGGTTGGGAGTGATGAGTAGAGCAGGAGGGGTGGGCAGGGTTAAATGGAGTTATGGAGTTATTGGAAGTTCCCAGACAGGCAGCCCCACATGAGCTGGGGTCTCAGGGTGCAGGAAGGCAGCAGTGCAAGGCACTTCTTTCCTGATTGTCTGCAGCTGCCAACACCACTGTTAGAAGGGACGTTTGGGCAGACTGGGGAGGGTAGCAGGCCGTGAAGAGGCAACCTCAGGGAGTTCCAATTATTGAGCTGTTGGAAACAGTGAGAAAGTGTGGTTTTCATTCTTTTCTGCCTTGTTCACCTCTGTTTTTTGGGGAATGGCTTCTGGCAGTGGAGCTCATTTGGAAGGCAGCTATGCTCACCACTATACCACCAACGCCTTCGCATGGAGCTCATTTGAATTACACAGGAGACCCAGGCTCTGTGGGTGTTGCAGATATGTCCATGCCTTTCCAGGCTGCATACCTCTATTCCCTCATTGAAGTGGCCAAAGAGATCTCTGGAAGTGGAAGGGTCCAGGGAGAGAAATGTTGGTTTTCCTGGGATCCCTGGATCTCTTAAGAGTTACCAAGCCTTTTCTTATTACACTGTTCCATGTACATGGCCCATGTAATGCAGTTTTAAAAAAATATTTTTTAAAATATTTATTGATTTTAGATGGGGTGGAGTGGGGAGAGAGAAAGAGAGAGAGAGAGAGAACCTTGATTTTTGCTGTTCCACTTATGTATGCTCTCATTGGTTGATTCTTGTGTGTGCTCTGACTGGAGATCAAACCTGGAGGGACAACTGAGCTGATCGGCCTGGGCTGTAATGCAGTTTTGAAAATTTTCTTCTAGAGGAAAAATTAATCTTAGACTGTTGATGAAATATCCACCCTAATAATTAGTAAAATTACTAATTCAGTGCTCTTTCTAAAACAGGTCAGGAGCTCTGGCCAGATAGTTTAGTTGGTTAGAGCATCATCCAATACACCAAGGTTTTGTGTTTATTCCTGGTCAGGCTTATACAAGAAGCAACAATGACTGTATAAGTAAGTGGGACAACAAATCAATGCTTCTCTTTCTCTATGAAATCATTAACTTAAAAAACCCACAGGAAACATTTTCTGTAAAGGGCCATTTAGTAAATAATTTAGCTTTGCAAACCATGCAGTCTGTGTTTTACAACTACTCAGCTCTACTGTTGTACCATGAAAGCAGCCATACACACCCAACAAGTGAGCATGTCTTTGTCCCAATAAAACTTTATTTACAGCCGGGCTGGCATGACTCAGTGGTTGAGCATGGTCTATGAACCAGTTGGTCACGACCTTTGAACCAGGTTGAGAGTTTGATCCCAGTAGGGGGCATGTAGGAGGCAGCCCATCAATAATTCTCTCTCATCATCGATGTTTCTATCTCTCTCCCCCTTTCTGAAATCAATAAAAATATATATTTTTAAAAAAGCTATATTTATAAAACAGGCAACTGGCCTGTGGGCTTTAGTTTGCCTGACCCCTGTTCTGAAAAGAGCCAGTGGACTGCCAGCAAGTGGGAGGTAGAGGAGTTACTTGGCATGGTATTAAGTTAACAGGTATAAGCATAAATATCTGTTGGTTGGGAGAAGAAAATATAGAAGCATCCCAGAATAAATATTGGCACCTAGGATTCTCACTGAAGGACAGCACAACACTAACACTGGCCAAAGGCTGCCTGAGAAAAGCTGAGATGGAGGAGGCCCAGCAGAGTGCCACAGGTGTATGTTCACCTGAAACTAATTCTATCTAATGAAGACGGAATATGCAAATTAACCATCACTCCACACCAAAGACGACAGCGCCCACAGCCAATAAGGAGGGAATATGCAAATTGATTGGCGTGACAAACATGGCGGTGGATGGGCCAGGACACTTGCCATGGTTATGACGCAGGCGTTCCACTTCGCCCTGGCTGCTCCGGGCCTCTGGGCAGCATGTGAAGGCGGAAAGGTGGCTCTGGCTGGAGTGAGGCGGTGCCAGCAGCTGGGGAAGGAAGGCCTATTCTCGCACGAATCTTCGTGCATCGAGCCTCTAGTATAAAATAAGATTGGATGTTACCTGTACTAGTCATTAAATTTTTAAGTGCCACAAACACAGACTTAGGAGTAAAAAACTAAGACCAAATAACAGTCCTGGGGTTGGGGCTAATGACTGACGAAGCTGTACTGACTGAGGGCTTTAGCAGAGGCTCTCTTGTAATTGTAATGGAGCCAAATTAAAAGACTCCAGCCCCCACACTGATCTCTTGAAAAGGTTTTATTTTTATCTAAAAAAGCTCCATTTTATCCTCCAAAGTCTTTAAACAAAGGAAAAATTATAGTGTTTACAAGCATCTCTGCTTTGCTTATGGCCTTTTGATTTTTCCAAGTATTTGGCAGTTATAGAAAAATGTTGTGAAATTAGGGTTTGAATGTTTAAATCCTGAGGTTCAGCGCCCCTTGTGCTCAGCATTGTTTTTATCTCGTGTTTTCTCACGAGACTGAGCGCCTCCAGGGCAGCACTGCTGTTACTGTGAGACTCGCCAAAAAGCTGTTACCATTTGACTTTAGCCCAGCAACAGCAGTAGAACTAAGAAGTATAGGTATGTGTGTATGTGTATATTATGTTTACATAAATTTTATTTCAGGAGGAAATGAGAATGTTCAGGATTCGCGTCCAAGAAGTAGTGAAAGAAAATAAAGAATTGCACCAACAGTTAAACAAGAATGGTACTATTACCAGTGAGGAATGGCAAGTAGTGTTGTGATTTTGATATTTTACTAGTTAAAAACAAAAGATAATGTGAATAAACTTATTAAATCATTAAATACATTTTCTTTTTTAAAGTAAAATACTTTAAGGGAGAATTTCCAAGAAATTAATAAGGTATAATGAAACCCTAGTAGTTTACTCTAAACTTGTATTTTAAAGATTACTTTAAAAATTCTAAATAGGTTTTTAAACCTGAACTATATTTACTGTCCCCATTTTTATTTTTTGACATATTTTTCTACAGTGCTTTTTCCACCCCAAACCTGTTGGGTCCCACTCTTTCTTAGACTCCTCTGCTCACGGGCTTTAGCACAGTGAGCCCTTGACTCGGCCCTGCCCCGCCCTGCCCTGCCCCGCCCTGCCCCGCCCTGGCCTGCCTTGCCCTGACTTGCCCTGCCTTGCCCTGCCTTGCCCTGTGCTGAATGTTGCCTCACTTCAATCCTGTCGCTGATGCTGCTCCCCTTCCCCCCTCCAATCCCCCTGCACTCCTAGTCACCCATTAGGGCTGCTCAAAGAGGCTGGTTAGTAGTTCTTCATAGAGGCAGAGTTAATTGCACCCTTGTCTCAGTTTCTGCCCTAGCCTTAAGCTCAGGCTGTGTTCTCACACCTGTCACACAGTAGCTGCCTGTGTGTTCCACATCTGTCTCCCTCTCCTCTGTGAGCTCAAGGGCAGGGCCACGTCCTGTTCGTCCGCACAGCAGCAACAAATGCCTACTCACTGAATTTGAGAATCTTCAAAAGTCTAAAGGGAATATCCAGGCAAGACTAAGAAAGCAATAACTATTTAGATATATCTTTTTTGCTTGGAGTATATGTTATGTTTAGTATTTTTAAAAATATATATTTTATTAATTTTTTTATAGAGAGGAAGGGAGAGGGATAGAGGGTTAGAAACCAATCAGCTGCCTCCTGCCCCCCTGCTACTGGGAATATGCCCACAACCAAGGTACATGCCATTGACCGGAATCGAACTTGGGACCCTTGAGTCCACAGGCCGACACTCTATCCACTGAGCCAAACCGGTTAGGGCTGTTTAGTATTTTTTAAAGTATGTCAACATTCCTGGAAAAAAATTAAATACTTTCCATATGTGAGATTCAGAAATTTGGAATCGAGTCAACAGCATTCTTACTGGTAGGTCAGTTTTCCTGATTTTATGGTCACTGATGTGCCAGTTGGGACTGGCCTGGCAGCTACTGGATCTTGGTGCACTGTGACTTCTGTTGAATTTAGATTTTCTACTGTCGGGTTTCCTAGTTTCTCCCCCTTCAAACCCTCCTTGACTAGCTCCCTGGGAAGCAGATCAGTGAGACTGGGCCTCATGTGCCTCTAAGAGTCCTCATGAGAAACTGGAACCTCAGATACTTTCTCTAACCTGTATATAGCTGTAAGTGAAACCTGTTTACTTTTCTTTTCTTTTTTAATATATAATTGATCTTAGAGAGGAAGGGAGAGGGAGAGAGAGATAGAAACATCAATGATGAGAGAGAATCATTGATCGGCTGCCTCCTGCATGCCCCCTACTGGGGATTGAGCCCGCAGCCCAGGCATGTGCCCTTGGCTGGAATCGAACCTGGGACCCTTCAGTCCGCAGGCCAATGCTCTATCCATTGAGCCAAACCAGCTAGGGCTACTTTTCCTTAAAATAAAAATAAGAATAAATAAGTCCTAACCAGTTTGAGTCTGTGGATAGAGCATCGACTCATGGACTGAAGGGTCCCAGGTTCGTTTCCGGTCAAGGGCACATACCTCAGTTGCAGGTTCCCTGGCTCTGGTCAGGGTGTGTGCAGGAAGCAACCAATTGATGTGCCTCTCTCACATTGATGTTTCTCCCTGTCTCTCCCTCTCCCTTCCACTCTTTCTAAAAATCAGTGGGAAAATATCCTCTGATGAGGATTAACAAAAAACACGCAAAGAAATCCTCTATAATAAAAGGCTAATATGCAAATTGACTGAACAGCAGAATGACTGGTTGCTATGACTTGCACTGACCACCAGGGGCAGACACTCAATGCAGGAGCTGCCCCCTGATGGTCAGTGCACTCCCACAGGGGGAGCGCCGCTCAGCCACAAGCTGGGCTCATGGCTGGCAAGTGCAGCGATGGTGGCAGAAGCCTCTCCTGCCTCTGCGGCAGCGGTAAGGATGTCTGACTGCCAGCTTAGGCCCATGAGGAACCGGCTAAGCCATTAGTTGGACATCCCCTGAGGGCTCCCAGACTGCAAGAGTGTTCCAGGGCATGGGGCTCCCTTCTCCACGTCCCGCACGGGAAAGAGAGCGTGAACCAGTTCCTTCAAATGGAGGAGCCTTGGGGATTGAGAAAAATGAAAGACAGACACAAAATAGAAAGCAAAGCTGGGCCTGGGTGGACTTCTGTCCTCTTCTGGCAGAGAGGCAAAGAGCCAAGTCCCAGGGCAGCGTGCTTATTTTATAGTCCTGGTCGGTCCCAATTCCCCAAAATATCATGAGGTTACACCAAACCTCAAGATAAGGGAGGTATTCCAGGTACTTGACTGAATTTACATAATAAAAACCCATTCTCAGCACCTGGGCCTTGAAGAGTTGAGCTGAAGGCATTCTCACCTTTTGGCCAGAAATGCCCCCAAGGTAGGGCTATGCCCAAGCCTTGGGTTCAGTCAACACAACTTAAAGCCATGGCGCCTTCCCTGGCAGGGGGCCTCCCACACGAGAGGATGCAGGCCAGGCTGAGGGACCTCCCGCCCCCACCAAGTGCACAGATTTTGTGCACCTGGCCTCTAGTAAATAAAATAAAAGGAAGAAAGACAGATCCCACTTTTAATCCCAGCCGTGTTCCTCAATCCTGCGTTTATTGCCATTTGAATTGTGCACCCTGCTCTGGTGGTGGCCTGCGCTGGTAGGGAGGAGAGCAGCTCTTAGGTCAGTGCAGTGCCTCTTGAGGTCCCTTCAAATTGACTGTCCTCCATCTCAGGAAGGGGACCCCGGGCTCTGGAGCCCCTCACAGTCGTGCCTCCCGTGCGCCTCCTTGGCTGCTGCTCCCTGTACCTGCACAGGTACCTGTGAGGTACCATACATCCCTGGCAGATCCTGAGGCGCACTGACTGCACTTCAGTGGAAGTTTTCTCCTTAGTTTCAACGCAGCTCAATAAACTTCTAGGCTGCAGCTTCTTTTCCTAACGTCCCCTGACCAACTGGATCGCCTCAGGCTCAGTTTCTTTACTTATAACAGTGATGGGGAACCTTTTGAGCTCGGCGCGTCAGCATTTTGAAAAACCCTAACTTAAGTCTGGTGCCGTGTCACATATAGAAATTTTTTGATATTTGTAACCATGGTAAAACAAAGATGTATATTTTTATATTTATTTTATATATTTAAATGCCATTTAGCAAAGAAAAATCAACCAAAAAAATGAGTTCGCGTGCCATAGGTTTGCCATCACTGACCTATAAAATGGGAAGGAGTGCTAAACTAAATCCGAGGTTTCTGTCTCTTTTGTAGGAATAGGGAAGCCCTTTCCTTTACAAAAGAAAGAAGGGAGGAAGGGAAGGAGCGAGGGAGAGAGGGGGGAAGGGAGGGGAGGAGGAAAGAAAGCAAGTCTTATAAGGAAGTCCAAAACAAAACAGACGAAGTGGATCTGCTCTGTGCCAAGCAGGAAGGAGGCCTTCTCTCCCATGGTGGGGTAGCTGTAGGGACACCGCCAGGGTGCCAAGGAGCTAGTGCACAGCCACTGTCAGAGTGAAGTCATCAATATAAAACCTTGATTCCTTTCATCCTTTTTCCTCCTCCTCCACCTCATTCTTTAGTTTAGAGTGGAAATAGAGATAATTTACTGGTGTAAGTGTACTTTGGGTGGTAAACATTTATCTAGATCTCTACGGTTCTTTCTGCTCATTCGAATTGGAATTTGTGACCGTGAAGGTTGCCTTGAGCTGGGGTTAACTTTCTACCAACTGTAAGGAAAGGGTTTGCTTGTGAAATTAGGCTGGGCAGTCTCAGTACAGTTTATGGAGCTGTCCAAAGGCTATTGGAGGTGGGGGTTTTTGTTTGTTTGTTTTTGCAGATATGATTACAAGTCAGTATTTTTTAATTAAAATGGGAACTTTCTAAATTCTTTAAACTATTTCATTCTGGCTTCAAAATAACCCAGTGGGTGGGGGGATTGGAGGTTTATGTAGATGAAACAAGGTTAGCCATTTGATAATTGTTCAAGCTAGGTGTTGTATATACATGGGAGTTAATTGTTCTGTTCTTACTACTGTTGTATATGTTTGAAATTTTACATTTTAAAAAGTTACTAAGAAATTCATAATTTAAACTTCATACTGTCCTTTCTCCCCATTTAATGCATATGGTGGGGTTGATGTGTTAATAACATGTTTAGCATTAAAACATGTCCAAGTGCAGCAGGAGGCAACGATCAATGTTTCTCTCCCCACTCCCTTTCTTTCTCTCTCCCTTCCACTCTCTCTAAAAATCAATGGAAGAAATATCCTTGGGTGAGGATTAACAAAACAAAAAACATGTCCAGATATTCATGCCCTACAGCAGCGGTTCTCAACCTGTGGGTCGCAACCCCTTTGGGGGTCGAACAAGCCTTTCACAGGGGTCGCCTAAGACCATCCTGCATATCAGAGATTTACATTACGATTTATAACAGTAGCAAAATTGCAGTTATGAAGTAGCAACGAAAATAATTTTATGGTTGGGGGTCACCACAACATGAGGAACTGTATTAAAGGGTCGCGGCATTAGGAAGGTTGGGAACCACTGCCCGACAGCATCTACTAGTATTACTTCCTTTTAGACTCTGTCTCTAACCATGGAGCACCTGCATGGCAGTATTTAATTTTGTAAATCACTTGTAGGCATCGGCTTCAGACTCAGGCGGAATTGGTCTTTTAGACTCTGACTGTCTCTAACCGAAAAGCACCTGCATGGCGGTATTTAATTTTGTAAATCACCTGTAGGCATCGGCTTCAGACTCAGGCGGAATTG